TACAACAATAATAAAACAGTGCATTGACATAAAAAAGGAAATTTACAAAGCAAGCACTTCTGTACTTTTACTTAAGTAAAAATCTGTCTTTACAACTTTTACTTGTAATGGAGTAATATTTGACCAGCAGTATCTGTAATTTCACTCAAGTAATGGAGTTGAGTACTTTGTCCGTCTCTGATTAAATATGATTGTGAATGATAAAGCTGCATATATGTGTGTGCCCTGTCTTTGAACACCACTGTCCCATTTGAAAAACCATCGGAGGGTCGCTCGGATGTTGAAACTATAATTGCAAATCAGAAGTGACCTTTTCTCAAAGCGCTCTGGGTGGTGTGTGTGAGTGTGTGTGCGTGCAAGTAATTACACAGAATTCCTCCGGAGGTGCTCTGAAAGAGTTTCCAGGTAAATCTTTCGGTGATAAATATCACAAGCCTCGCAGGCAGAGAACATACTGTGACCCAAAAATCAAAGTTGCGGGTTATCAGTTTTTTAAGGACTATCCTCTGTAATTGTTAGATATGCAAATGAGGGCCACTCAGCCGAGATGAGCTGATGCTAACAGACTGCTGATTATTTTCTTTAATCTTGCGAATGTGCGTCATTCAAAGAATATTACAAAAGCATCCTTTTGAAATTTCTATTCAGTCCCATTTTAAAATAAGGCTGCATGCTCCTGCGTGTTTAGTACAGACTCCTGGATATGTTACACATTTACTATTGCATTGGAGAATATTTTTGATTTATGTGTTTGTGCGCATGGAGCGTGTTAAAAATCTGCCTTTGTTATTGGTTAATGTTCATTTATGACCCAATTAAATTAACTTTAGTCTCTTTCTAACACCGAACACACTATTTTTCTCACACACAAAGGTAACAAGATTTAAGATTTGTGATGAGCATGAGCTTCTCTTCTTCAGTCATCTTCATACACACTACCTCTCGCACCTTTATTGATGAGGCTGTGAATAAAACTGACAGAGAGTGGCTTATGAATTAGTCGTAGTGGGAATAGCTGTCGATATTCTCTGTCCATGTGCGTGCGCTATAATGAGGTGGCCTGGTAGCTGGTGTCTCGTGTTTGTGTGTGTCCGTTTTACACGGAGAACAAATTCTTGTTACCAACTCTGTCCAAGGTTTTTTTTAATAGCTGTATATAGTTTTGTTAGTCGTTTTTGTTGTTAAAAGGGTTATATCATGACAAATCAATTCTTTGATCTTATTTTTAAAAAGACTTTACAGCCGTCTTATTATGAAAACCCAGTGTATCGACTCTTTCCTCGCTACCAAATTGACTCCTTGGATTAGAAACCAGAAACATTTACATTTGATGGCATGTGCAGGATGCGAACTACAGGGGAGCTAGGGGGAGCTCGGCTCCCCTTAATAAGACATGGGCTCCCCTGAAAACGGGATTTGTGAAATTTTGGGGGGTCTCAAAAAATATTGACAATGTGTTATTTTGACGTGCAATTTCAGTTTTGTGTAATGTGATCATCGTGGATTATTATGTGTAAAATTGCAAAAATATCATTCATTCATGCATGACGGCGATTTAAACCTAATTCACTTCAATAAAGATAACTATACATGCTATTCTTATCATGAGCATCAAGGTGTGGGGGCACTGCGGTGCAAGTTCCACTCATGTTTAGTACGTTAACTCAAAGATTCGTAGAAAAAATATAAACGCTGGACTCTGTCGTCGATTCGGTGTTAAGGTAAGGCATGTTATTCGCAATTATGTGTTGTGGCTGGGTTGTTATAGGTCTGCGTGACTCTCAATGTCTTAGGCCTAATTGAACGGAGGAATTATGGTATTCTTCTGTAGCCTGACGACGAATAACTTTAACCGTTGTTCATGTGAACTCAAAGACAGCCCGATGCTTTGTTTATAGACTATTTGTGGGTGGCTGTTTGTTGTTTCACCTATCAATTCGTGTCGATAAAGTATAATAGGGTAAATCCTGTATAGTGATTTATCCTATATAGTGCATACACTTGTAGCTGTTATGTATCTTTATAAAGCTATGTAACATTATGTAACATTATAAAGCTTGGAAGAGCCAGGACATTTTTAATATGACATCGATTGTATTTGTCTGAAAGAAGAAAGTCACATACACCTAAGATGGCTTGAGGGTGAGCATATCATGAGTGTGCGACGCTCGCGGTGATTTCAGCTTCTGTCGTATCACTACATAAGGACATAAATACATGAACAACATCTCTAGAACTGCTCTGACTCCTCACTTCATGTGCATTTGACAGTTTCATTGGAGTAAAACTATCTTCATATCATTTACATAGACCTACAGAAACATGTTTCTCATGGCAACCCGTCAAAATATAAGTTCGGGTTAGCTTAATGAAATTATCAGAAATATATTACTGTGGTGCAGTATG